TATTATTACAGTAAAAGCTAATTTTATTTAATCAAAATTAAAAAAGTTAATACTAGTAAAAGTTAATCTAAGATGATTTTATTTAGCCTTGGCAACTTGTTAGACAAGGACAGACCACTACTTCGAGCTATGTCACGTAACTCGGTTTTTACTTTTATTTAAAATAAACCTTAACATAACCCAATAAGGTGTAAGTTTGTAATATTGGTATATCGAAGTGTGCGATCCACTTTAAGAAATATATAAACCCGTGTAATTATATTTGTTGCCAATTTCAATAGTAAAATCTAATGACTAAAATCTAATAAATTCCGTAGTTTTAAAAGTGGTTACATAATAATGATAAAATCGCTAACGTTATAAAAAAAAGCTAATGCTTTGTAATAATTTTTACGAAAATGATATGGATAAATATGGGATAAATATATAAAACACCGAGTGTATATTTATCACCGGTTGTTTACTTTTCTCTGAAATAAAAGTATACTTAAAAAAAATCCATGACATGATTACTTACTACATATTATTGAACATAACACAAAGTAGGTACTTGTTTTTGGAATATGTAATATAATATATATTATTTATTATATATATTACATATATTCGAAAATTAACAAACGTTTACATTTCATTGCACGCGATACCTACAATAGTATAAAAATCTTACATTATCTTCAGTGTCTATTGTGCGTTCGCAGCCATACACTGACCCCAAGAAATTTTCCATGGCGGTATATGCTAACCATATACGTTCATATACATCTTCCACCCCCATACCCGATATTATAGATTGTTTTTTTCTTACGAAGATACGCACCAAAATTTGCCATTAACTTCTTCGCTTTCAACTCATTGACTGGTAATTTTATAATATTAATACGGTTCCATGCATCGTTAACTTTGTGTTTAATTTTGTGGTTTGGATGTTTTGGGTTTCAAATGAGTTCTTCGGTTTCATACATATGGTTCTAGAAAATACAAGACCCGCACATTACTCCAATCTATTTTGTACCTACGCATTAACGCTAGCAGCTTATTTATATATAAAGTACTCTGTGGTTTATCTGAAGCGGGACGAATAAGGAAATGGCAGGCTTTTGAAGTTACAACTACAGTCTTTACAAAGATTATTAATTTTATTTTGAGTATATTATGAAGACAAAAACAAAAAGAAGCGATGAAGAAAGTTAGAACTATATTCTTTAACTGAAACCAAATTACAAAAGACTTTATCCTGAAAATTCCACTAATTACGAATTCAAAGTATTTGTTCAAAGTGATAGAAGATAATGTGATCTATGTGAAAGTGAAAATATAAATATTGACTACCGCCACTTAAAAGACTATGTAAAAAAACCGAATAAGTGAACTAAGTTAAAACTATTTTTCCGAATTTAAAACGCGTATGTTTGTTTTTTCAAACAAACCAACGTTTCGGGCCCTTTACAGGTCCCATGGTCACGGTTGACAACAACAACCATACAACAATTTATTAGAACTACAATGGAAAATATTACTGAGTATCCGATAATTGAACGAAGACATGACTCAAAGGACTTGTATCTAAGTCAAAACCATTAATAAAAAAAGGGACAAATAAGCAGTGTTGCCACGTTGCCCAAGGAGTAAGTAATTAAACTTTAAGTAAAAAAGTTGTTAGATTCCAAGAAATTAATTCTGGGTAAAATTGCCTAAAGTGGCTGAACGAAAACATAATTATGGGATTGCGTTTTTAAATACATATTTTTCTTAATTTTACAAATTATAAATAAAGAAAATAATTATCATCAATATCAATCAAATCATTATCATCTTGTGATATTGAAGGTTAAGCTTTATTTTCGTTTTTTTTCCAATTTTTTACTTTTCTTAATAAAAGAGCTAAAAGATTTAACTATCAAATACATTTTGTTTGTTTTTGTTTTGTACCTAATAATTTCGTAAATCTGAATAAATCTATATAGCTAAAAACTGACTACAGTGGCAACACTGCTAATGACTGTTTACAATGCATTGCATTGGCTCAGTTCATAAAAAACAATGTTATTAAAATTTAGATTATGATTTATCCACTTAACATTATTTTCAGCTATTACCATCTCATTTCCATTTCATAATTTCCATCCTTCAATGTTTAGATTACCTATAATTATACCCCATGTTGTTAATCACCGTACCAAAATTCCGTTTGCTTTTATTTTTATTCCGTGATTTGTTTCCTCGTTTTTAAATTCCTATTAATATCGAAAACCCCACATCAAAGTTCCACAACAACAACAACTGCGACGACAATGATATCATTGTCGTAAGAAAGTATTGGAAGAATTATCAAAAATTGGCAACTCAATCGAAATTGCATATGGCCAAAAGCTGGATGCCATAGTGCCAGGAAATAAGAAAACTTCGCGTCGCCTGTCGGAGAACGCAGCATATACTTCGCGACGCTACTCGTGCCTAACTTCGCGATAGCGAAGTGACCGTTTACACATGCGTGTCGTGCATCGCATCGCCTATTGCACGAATGTGAAAACGGGGCATAAAAGAGTTTTTTTGTCTATGCATGTGAAACTGAAAAAAAAAACAAGAATTGTTTATGGCTCATATCGTTCGTAGCAGAGATAATATTCGTTTAATTGTTTCTAAAATTATTGGAATTTATGCCGCATAATAAGATAACGAATATAATTTCAGTGCGTATTGTGATTTTGTCCATTAAATATATTTGTCGTGCCTTTATAACAGTGTGAAAAACCGTCGTAATTGAGTTCGCCGCGCGTTCGTGGTCCTATTTCAAAATGGCGTCAAGCGCGTTGGTTTAGAATGCGTCATAAATAGACGCAGTGCAAGTGTGTTCTATAATGGCTATAAATAGAGGACTAGCATTGCTATAGTTGCATATTTGCGACTGAAAATGTCAAATACAGTGATTACTAACTATACGGATTTAAATGGACCTTCAACAAAAGCCGATAGTTCTGTTGTTGTTATTGTAAACAAGGATGGATCACTTTCTGTGGATCAGAACCTACTGGGAACGTTAATGGGTAAGTATTTAAAAATTATATATCCTAAGATAATGCTTTACGTTTTAAGAACACGCACCTTATTCGTAACAAGTGCTAAAATGCTAAATGCAGCTGAAAACTGCTACCGATGGACTCGCCAATTACTACCAAGCATATATAAATACATTACAATAAAACCATGAAGCTTATGAAAAGTATTTGTCTTTTATATTGGATATAGCGAACCTTCCTATATGTAGGAATGATTAGAACCTTAATATATTGTTAAATAATAAGGTCTCAGAATTTTGGCGCCAAAATCTAAATTCGCCGATTTTGGCGTCTCTCTGAGGTGATTTGAAGATTGAGACCTATCAACATAAGACTATTATTTTCTTTTTTATTATTGTGTATTTCTTAGAATTCTATTCAGAGTTCCACTGCAATAAAATTGTACATAATATTTAAGCAGTGCATTTTTGTTTACCATTTTGACACTATTTGTGTGACTATTGTCTCATATTTGCATAAATTTTAGGAAGTGATGGTTCCCAAGCTGCTGGCATAAGTGTGGTTCGTGTTGGACATGAAGGCCGTCCTGATGATGCTACTGATTCAGAGAGTGATGACGATGACAAAGTCCCTCATGTAACTCTTTCAGTTGATAGTTATTATGGAGAGCCAAACAGTATCATAAAATACGGTAAATTATATTTAATTTAGGTTTAAAAATTAATTATTGCTACCAGTATGAATTTATTAATTTTTAACAATGTAGGTAATATAAACATCTTAACTAAAATCATGACAAGCTACTTTTTTTAGATAGTGGAGCCGAAATGTTGCAATCGCTGAGGATAGAGACAAGAGAGAACAGTTTGGTGGGGTTCCAGAATGACCACTGCTACACTCCACTCACATCACCTAGTCAAGGAGTGCCGCAGCGATCAGACAGCTACTCAGGTTATGACGAACCAGTACTTGAAATCACACATACCCCACCTCCAAAGCCAGTTCCACAATCTAAAAAGATTACAATACTAGAGGAACAGATTATTCCCAAAGGGAAGAAAATTATTATAAATCCCACAGATTCATCACTTCTGCTTAAATGTCATGACGTCCTTTCCAAACCATTACCAGTCTTGCCTAAATCTAAAAATATGAATGATTTGGAAAAGAGCTCAGAGACTACAGAGTCATCATCAATAAGTTCTGAAGATAGCATACCGGATAGGGATTCTGACTCAGATTATAAAGATGCTAAGGACAAAACTTCTTTGAGAAGTGTCAGAAAGCCAAAAGTTAAACCAAGGATACTAAAAAATATACAAGTTACCAAACCTGGAAAGTTGGATCCAAAGATAATGTCTAGAGTCAAATCTGGCAAAAATATTTTGAGAAGGGATGTCAAAGAACGAGTCCAGCAAAAGAGCATCTTGATAAGGAAACAACAAGAACCAGAACCCGTGACCCCAAAAGAGACAATACTTGGCACTACTGATATTCCTGTTCCCGAAATTGGTAAAGTAGTTTCTAAACATATTCCAAAACCTATAAAAAAAGAAAAGAAAACTCCTGCACACATGACAGCACTTTTGTCAGACATGACGTCTTTGTTTTCAACACCTGATGTTATCAGAAGAGTCTCAACTGATGGTAAAAATGTTAAGCCAGAAAAAGAACCTGCACCTCCTAGTAAAAAGGGAGTCAGTCTTCTCAAATTACAAGAGCCTGGTGATGCTAAAACAGCTGAGAATATTAAACTTCTGGACAGTATAGAAAAAGCTAAAAATTTAACACCTAAAACATACACAAAGCAAAAGGATAGAACTGTTTCAGCAGACAAAACAGCAAAAAGCTACGATCTCATTCCCCAGCTTGATGATGTTAGTTTGGCACAGATACTTCAAGACACTACTGGCATATCAACAACACCAAAAGCACAACCAAACATTACTACAAGCAATACTGTGAGTAGTCCAGGTTTAGCTGGCCCATTATCACCAACACTTGATTTGTTGGGTGGTTTACAACCCGAAGAGGAAGGGTTGACTGAAGATTTGTTAATGCACGTTGCACAATTGGTTGAAAGTTCGGAAAATTTGCAAGAGGTCATTGATAAGCAAGTACTGGGCAAAGTAGACACTGTGCCTGCTAAATCTGCAGTTCAGTCTCCATTCCAACAAGCACATGCTGCCAATGACTATCAACAGACACCAACTAGGTCAGCAAAGACTATTTTGCCAAGAAAAGATCCTATAGAGATAGTCAGGCGAGATGGTCGCGTTATTACCCTGCCACCAATAGAAGCTCCAGCTACAAGATCATCCAAACGGAAAAGTCAGATGGAGACCTCTAGTGTTGCAGATACATTAGTGACTCCAATTGAGACCCCACCACCACCTGCTCCACTGTCCGTTACACCTGAACCTCAAGTACAACATGTTTCCAAACAGTACATCAACCGGAAATTGACAGTGAAAAAACAAGAACCAGTCGCTCAAACTCCTGTTGTTGATAAGTTATCTGCAGAATCTCAAGAAAGCTGGAATTCAGAAGATGATCCCAACAGGTATTGTTACTTGTTTCATTGGTATAGAAAACAAGGTATTGGTATGACTCAATGAATGATTATTGTGAAAATATTTCATTTAATTATCTTATTTTAGATTGTGGTGCATTTGCAAGCAGCCACACAATAATCGTTTTATGATTTGTTGTGATGGGTGTGAGGATTGGTTTCACGGTAAATGCGTCAATATCACCAAGGCTATGGGGCAGCAGATGGAAGAGCGTGGAATCGAATGGCGATGTCCTAACTGCATCAAGAAAGCAAAACCCACTCCTAAATCTGCTACTAAAGTGAGTAACATAGGAATAAAATGTGCTAATTTTTGCTTACTTACCTACAAATACCTACAAATTATGTACACATTAGGCCTATATTGAAAGCGATAATAAACAATAATGTGCTATAAGTTCGTTATTCTCTTTTTTCATCCAATATCAGGTAACATCAATGCAAAAGAAGATTGAATTGAATGACAGTCTTACAGCAACCCAATCCCCACTTCCAAGGGACATTGGTAGCAAAACAGTTTGCATAGTATGCAAAAGACCAGCTCGCGCCAGCAGTATTTATTGCAGTGACTCGTGTATATTGAAACACGCACAGGACTCATTAGGAAATCAAACTTCTCCCAATAAATCCGACATGGACCCTGGGAAGTCTCAAGAAAAACAGAAATCTGATTCAAGAGTGAGTAGTTTTCTTAACGTTTTTTATTTTGTTTTCAATAAAAATATTTTAACTCCAATTGGTACTACAAATTAAGCAAATAACACTAATAAGAAAAATTTAATTTTAGGTTATTGTTTATGAACGCAAAACAGGAAGACTGTTGGCTGGACCTAACGCTCCCACAGCAGAAAACCTAAAAACATGGCTCCAAAAGAACCCCACTTTTGAAGTTGTACGTCCTGGTACGTTGCACACAATAAAGCCTAATCTGGCTAAGAAGAAATCTAATGAGCCGGGTAAAATTCAAACTACACTGAACTTCGAAAGAATACCACGGAAGTCTGCGGAGCTACCAATGACGCCTAAAACGCCACAACAAGAACCTAAAGAAAAAATTACTAAAGTTGTAATATCGCCTAGAGAAGAGATAAGACCAATACCTCAACCTCGAACTCCTGTAATGTTAAGATCTCAACTACCTGACTACCAAGATACACCGAGACCTAGCACCTCTACTGCTAAACTGACTGAACCAAAGAAACCTCTTCGTGCAACTGCAACCCGGTCTCAATCAACTTATGAGAAGGTATATGCAGAATGTTGTGAAAGTAAAATTGGGTTTACTTGTATTCAATATGCCATTGATAAGCCATAACACTTATCACGCTTATCTTTGTAACCTATGACGTTATCGTCATCCTATATTAAACATTATGGAACTTTTTTATAGTAAAACTCACTTGGCCAATTTTGGCCTTGAAGTGTTTGTATTTTGATTATGGGCGTCGTCGTCATGAGCGTGGTTTGGCATACTAACGTTAATTATAAATGTTTCAGACGCCTACAGTTTCGGTTACGACGTCGCGTAGGAAGGAAACACCTGATGCGAAAAAGAAAATGGACTCAACAGAGCCCATACGGGACAACGTACGAAAATCTTTACAAGAACAAATGAGTATCAGGATGACAGAAAATACTGGTCCCAAATTTAATGAAGAACAAATTAAACAGTACGCGTTCGCAACTGAATCGGAATTATACGAGCTGTTTTCGAGAGATGTCGGCGTTAAATATAAAGCCAAATACAGATCTCTAATGTTTAACATCAAGGATCGAAAGAATCTGTCACTGTGGCAGAAAATTTGTGATGGGACTATCACACCTAAGCAACTGGTAAGTTTAGTTTCGTAAGTAATTTTTTGTAGTACATAGCAGTATTTATATTTCTCATGTGGGGTAAAGCGGCAGATATTCAAACCATATTTGTATTGCAAAAACGAGCGATTCGTTCTGTGTACCGTCTAGGCTCTCGGGTATCTCTCAGAGAAAAGATTAAGGAGACTGGTATCATGACTGTGGCATCACAGTACATTTACTCAAATATTTTATATGCCCGTAAAAATTTACATAATTTCAATAAGAAAGAAGATATCCATAATATTAACCTTAGAGCTAAGTCCAAACTCATGGTACCACGATTTCGTTTAACCAAGGTAAACAACTCTTTTATGGGGAACTGTATACGTTTTTACAATAAGATTCCGGAGCATATATTAAGTTTATCATTTCCTAAGTTTAAAAACTACATTAAAAATATTTTGATCGAAAAATCATATTACAAAATTGAAGACTACGTGTTAGATAAAGATGTATGGAAAGACGACATGGCTCCAGAATCCACACAAATTTGATTCAAAGTGTATTCCATAGCATTTAAGTTTATTGAAAAGAGCAATCCCTAGAGTTTCTTGCTCGTTCTTCTCAGGGAGGTCAGCGTAGTGAACGAGCAGTAGCTTAAATGTAGCTTAAATGTGACGTTTTCAAGTGTAAATTTATTTTACCTATGGAATAAATAATCTTTGACTTTGACTTTGAATGTATGTGTAATTTACAAGTTGTAATAGAAATATTGTTAATCGATTACAGGTGCGGCTATCTCCTGAGGAACTAGCTAGTCAGGAACTCGCAGAATGGCGAGATCAGGAAGCCAAACATCAGTTAGAGTTGATCAAGAAGTCAGAACTGGATCTTTTGGCTGCCAGCAAAACCTACGTCTTGAAAACCCATAAGGGTGAAGAGGTAAATATTAGATAAACTTCACTGTTAACGTGTTTATTAAAAGAATCTCGTTATTGTAAAATTACAATGTTGCCTATTTCATTTTCAGGTAATGGAGACTAAAGAATCTGTGTCTACAGAATTGGACCCTAATGTCCCAGTTGAAGATGTGGTAATTGCACTGAACGATTCCACTGTCGGCGAACAAGTTACGAATGAAGCAATACTACAGCCTGCGTTAGTAACTATTAGCAACGTGTATTGTTAAGTATTGTTAAGTAACCCACTTTGTAAATATTTGGATTGCTTACAGAACCGAAAAAAGTAAAGAGGACAAGAGCGAAAAACACAGTAGAAAACGGAATCGTGAAGATAGTATACACTCAAAGAAAAGTCGGCGAGATTCTAAGCGCGACTCTGACATCAGAAAGTCACGCTCCTCTCGACGGCGGTCAGACGACAAAGAGACTAGAGAAGGAAGGTCTACGCGTCGATCCGCCAAAAAATCTAGCCGAGCTAGATCGTTGTCACGGGATAAATTTAAAATAGAATCGAAAGACAAGGAAGAACGATCAAAACACAGATCTAGATCGCGATCACGGGCTAAATCCAAGAAACGATCAAAGACACCTCAACATTCCAGATCACGATCAAAAGACACATCTCGCTCTCGAGCGCGCTCCAAAAAACGCTCGCCATCCCGGGAGGATCCGAAGCGGCGGCGTAGCACTCGCACAAAACACAGTTCAAGCACGGAGGAAGTTACACATCGCTCTAGATCTCAGGAAAATATTTCCACCAAGAGCAAGAATGAGTAAGTTCGCAAATAATGATAAACTGTTGAAATTTGTTGTCTATAAAAAAAAATTCATTTGACAATTTCTTTTTTTTTAGCTCTACCGATTCTGATTCTATAGAAAGACCTAAGTCAGCAATGTTAAAGGAAGTACATCCTGAATATGACCCACATGAACCGATGATAACTTCTGCATTCTCTGAAGAAGATTTACGGAAGTCTGGGGGTGATAGCTACGAGGATACATACAAAAATGAGATAACTGATTATGGCGACACAGAGTATTCGAAAGCGTTTTCTATCGAAGCCGATGATATTTTACCCCCACAAAAGTGCCCGTTGAGAGCAGACAGAGTTTCAGGTAGCTGATGTTTCATATTGTTTCCCACAAATTCATCAATAAGATGTTTATCCTATGATAAATATACATTTATATTTATGGATGTGATTTTACACAGAAGCTGAGAGTGATCAAGAACCAAGCAGTACAGTAGATAACGCAGCTGTTGCAGTTTGGAATGGATGCATCAATATGGTTGATGTAGCTCGCTTTTACGTCGCTGCACACGAGGTAAATATTACAGAGTTGGTTTTAGTAGAAAATGTAATGTAATGTAAGCAAAAGTTTATTGCCAATTATTATATCCATTTGTTTTTTTACAACAGGTGTCTGGTAATGCTGCAGACTTAGAAGAGGATCTTACTGCTGAATTGGATATTGTAGGCAGGATAAACCCTGACACGGTGTGGGACTATATTGGCAAAATGAAAAGAGCCAGCAACAAGGATATCATAATCTTGCGATTGCAAGCTGCTAATGATGAGGAAAAGATGCAATACATTGCACTATATAGTTATCTTAGTAGTCGCAATAGGTTCGTACTGTATTTGTTTGGTAGTTATTTATACAATATTGTTAATAAATTGTTCCTCTGTATTGTTTTAAATTTATACAAATTGTTCTTGTTCTCCACCTGTGCTCCTTATACATATAATCCTTGGCATTTGGTAATAAATAACATGTCAATACTGATGGCATTTTAGGTTAGGCGTGGTAAAGGTGTCGAATACCACGAATGTGAAAGATTTTTACATCGTGCCGCTGCCTTCGAACACGACGCTGCCCTCTGTTCTGCTGCCGCTTGACGGGCCCGGCCTCGGAGAGGTCAAAACACATCTGCTGCTCGCCATTGTTATCAGACAGAGAAAGAAACGACACGCCCCACACATTCCTAAAGATCATATACCGGCAAAGGTCAGTTAGTTGAAGTTGAACAATGAAGAAAAAAGGCTGTGTAAATAAATAAACTATTCAGATCGAGTACTCTTTATTGTCCGAATCCATGAAGCGTCACACGAATTATCCTCAACCGGCTATTATTAATATATACTAAAAACACCAAACTTTACCTCTATCTCGGGTTATTTATTAACAAAAAATTCCACATTAAAATGTATAGTGCTGAAGATGGACGACACATAGGTGAGGTAATTTATCAAAGCCTAAAAATTCAAGCACAGCGAGTGCCCTAACCTCTCAAAAGCCTACTAAATTCAAGTAAAAAGTAGACTGAATTTAAAATATTCGGGTGATAATAGTGCACCTCTTATTACTTTAATGCGTCATAACTTTTTCAACATGTCTGTATAATGTTAAATTTTGCCAAATTTTTCATCGACAGGTGGCTCGCGAGTCTAGAAAGCGGTCCTACACGCCGCCTGTGGTGGGCAAGAGTACGTACACGCCGCCGGCGTCACCACGTCGACGCACGGCTGCAACGCCTGTTGCTAACTTGCCGCTCCCTACGTATACATCCCCTGCACTCTCCACTTCAGTCAAGGATAAAATAGCTGCTACTCTAGGTATTTCTCTTTTTGGCATACTATTAAGCATCTAGTAAGGGATAAATAATACGATAATGTAAAATGGTGACAATTTTAACATTGCATTGAAATTGTAGTTTGACTTTTGAAGAGCTTAATCGACTGAAACAATAATTACCTACGTTATTTTATAGCATCCGCAAATGATGAAGAACCCTACAGTCCAGGATCATCCAGCAGTAGTAACAGCGGCCCGCCATCGACGGCACCGGCATCAACTACGCTCCGTTCCAAAATGGATGAACTTAATCGCCAAATTGAGGAGCAGAAACAGCAAATCCTTAAAATGGCGCAAGCAGACTCGTCTGTGGGAGAGGTGCATATTAATAAAACATTTAAAACACAAAAATAAGCTCCATGAAACTTATTTGCAATTTTGTCTGACAGTTGTCTAAACTCGTTTTTTTATTTTCTAGGATGAAGCTTACTCACCCTCACGACCCATGACGCCACCATCAGTAGTTCCTCTAGCGGACATTGCGCTTCCTTCGAATTTACAAGAGATCCTGGCTACAATCAAGCAGCGCTCTGAACCCACCACTGGCGATGTGGATATGCGCAATCTACCCTTGCCTTAGATTTTGAAAAATATTTCATCACTTCGTAAATAATAAGCACAAGTATAGTTTTAATTTATATGTAGTGCATAAATTTATGCGTATTCCTTGTAAATTATTTTCAAGCATTTTAATTCCGCCTTCCAGTGCTGTTATTTAATGCCAGAAGGCCCTTTCATTACGCGTCAGCTACACGGACCCGCGTTTGTCTTACTATAGACAGCTACTGCAAATCACGGAAACAACCAGTTTACGTTGATATTCGCGCCAAGCTGTCTATTTTTAGACGACAGGGTTGCGTGAGCGGACGCCTTCCAAGACATGTTTGTTGTAAATTTCTACTTTTGTAGATTTAATATTAGGTTTAATGAATGTATCATGCTCGACATGAATTCAGTAATATATTTTTCCTGAGATGAACTGGAAATATACAGATTTACAGAGCGTATTATTGTAAAATTTTATGTGCAATAGGTATGAGAGAACAAAATTGGCTCTATTTTAAATGTTAAAGTTGATTGTATTCTGTATATAAATTCTCTTGGAGATCTTATAATTGTGTACAAAATAATATTAAAGGATTTGCTTAGTATTAGCATAATATATATGGTTGGTGTTTTAATCACATTCCTTCTCTATAATGATAATGAATGACAAATGAGTAAAGGAACTCTTAACTCTCACTCAGGGAGGTGCTAATAATATTTAGGAAGTTAGAGAACAGTATTACAATATTTGTTAGAGTCCCTAATTTGGGTAGTAAAGTCGACATATAAGTTAATAATGAAATAGGGTAGTGTAATAATCAATTAACTTTACAAATTTATAATTTTTCATCATCATAGTACAATGTTTTTCTTGCTTTTATTTTTTTGTCCTTGAAACCCATATTTGAAATGGATTTATAAACCTCTTCTCTTAACTTGGGATTTTTTAATTTTTTTTGAATAGCCTTTATTTTTGTTTCCATAAGTTTTCTTCTTGGAATATGCCTTAGTGCAAACTCCCAGTCTCTAGTAAGTTTTAGGTCAAGTAATATTGGTACCATGTGATTTATGTTCAAATTCTTTTTAGAACCAGGTGCCCATTCTAAATACCTGTCAAGTGGTAACTTTGCCATCTTTATTCCATCTCTTTTTGCTTTAGCTAAGGAAAGTGGTTCATTGTTTACCTGTAAATTGAAATTTACATATAACGAGTAATTTTACATAAACAAGCAACATGTGCGAGATGTATCATATCGCACTTGAAATTGAAACAGATTGAAAATTGTTACCCTGTGCTTGTAACAAGTTTCAATCAGCAAATAAAAATTATAATTCCTTTTTCTTGGTAAAATTGTTTGTTAAAATCATGACAATCATCTGAAACACATATTTTCTCAAAGTTTTTTTTACTAAATATAAAATTAAGCAAAATATGTACCTTGTCAACCATACATCCTACAATATAAATAGCATCAGCATCAAATGTAGTCAACTCCTCACGACAGTGTGGAGTCAAATATACTAATTTATCCTTGGGAAAAATATCATTGTAACTTTTTGAGTGAATCTCCATGGGAAACCATGGTTCATCCACTGATGGCACATTAATTCTGAATTGCTTCATCAAAGGGCCTTCTAAGTTAACATTGCACAAATGAAGCCCAAAAGGATCTTTGTGTATTCTGTTATCTCCAAATACATAAGTCAATTGTTTTGCAGCATTCAATATTTCCTTGTGAACCATGTGTTCTTCATAAGAACAATCTAAAATTAGTGGCTGACTATACATAAGAGCTTGCAATGCCCTGAAAGTAAAATCGTTGTATTTAATACCTATAAGCAAAGTAAAACTTAAGGGGACAAAAGGACATATAGCATTTTGTGATAAAAAATTACCTGTAGTTATCAAAGTTGTTTATAGACTGATCTCTAATACGCAAGAACAATGATTGATTCTGTATTCCATATAATATGTCATCAGGAAATTCCTTACTTTGTTCTGGATCAAACTCTTCCAATTCTTTTTTTCTAGCTTCTTTTCTTGCCTGGAAATAAAGTTCACATACTATTTTACAGTTTAGGAACAACAATGTATAATGTGCTGTTTATCACAGGTACAGGTGCTTCCTCTAATATGACCTTTGTAATAATTTTTCTAACATGTTTATTTTTCCTTTTTTTATGTATTTATATGAGAATTTAAATATGAATAATACATATAATTCCTTAAATAACTTACTTTATCATTTTCTTTAGCTTTCTCAGTTTTAAAAAGGTATAGTAAGTATTTACTTCGTTGGTTTCTGGACTCTAGCTGCATTAAATGCGACCAATGTTTGCTCAGTAACGTATCGGGGGCGCATCGCCCGTCTTGTCGCATTACTTCTACTTCTAGCATGAGTATTCTAAGTTTTTTCTCTCGTTCGCGATCCCCTTTACATAGCTCATTAATGATACGGTCTGTAACATGTCATAAAAAACTCTTTAAATATACAATTTCCACGTTCTTAAAACTTTTGTACGGGCCTTTACATTACTTTACAGGCTGGTTAAATGAGTAGTAATATTACCTGATTCGTCTTCTTCTGCTGCTAAACTAAAATTTCTGTGAGTATCGAATTGCTTAATATTTACGACTCGTTGAAGGGGAACAACAATTCTATTTTGCATTTGCCGAAATCGCAAGTGTGTAAAAATAGATCTCACACAGAACATGGCAAATTTGAAGAATAACGTTCTCAAGTAGGTACAATGATTATATTTTGAAGATATCTAAAAATACTACAATATTCTCTTTCTTTCAATATTCTATATAATATATTAGAAATTCAATGAACTCTGCACAAAAAACCAATATTCAAAATTGACTTGACTGAGGACTTGATCCACCTACTGTACAAAGTTAAAGTAGAAAATTTAGACTATGGAAACCATTAACTGACCTCACTGTCATATCATAATATCTTTGCTCATAACCAAACCAAAATTATATTTAGAAACTCTAACCTAACCTAACCAAACCAAACCGCTTGAGTGCGAGCTTGACAAAACAATATAAACCAAATTAATTTCATAAATTCCTTAATTTATTCACATTTACAGTAAATAAGTTCTGCCTCTGCCTTAGAGGTTTCCCCAAAGAGTACATTGTATATCTAGGTATAGAGTTATCAGCTCATGTAGTATTTAAACGCCATCTAGTGTCTAGAGATGGAACTATGGTGTCCTTGTACATACACATATCTATACTATTCTTCATTCTTTCTACTGGGTTCCTAGGGGTTTTATTTTTTAATGGATATTAAATTTAGCAATCAATAGTTCAAAATGAAACAATTTTTGTATCTAAATCATGTATTTGTTTTTTCCTACATTTACTAAATCAACTTCAACTTTCAAATGACAAAAACAAATGTAATGAAATATAAAACAATAAAAAAGATTAATGAGCATAACTTGTCATCTTCTTTCATTTTCTTTATTTGCACTTTGAGTTGTTCAAAAATATTGTCATTTAGACCTGGTTTCAAATTGGCTTGTGATATCATATGGGAAACAGTCACCAGTGATGGCAAGACAAATATTTTGCTAAGCCATCTGTACGCTTTTGGTCCCGCCTTGTACACACTTAGTGCCATTATCTTTTCTTCTTTTGTGAACCTTCTTCCCGTCTTTGGTTTCCCTATTTGTCGAAACTGCATCAGAGTGAAAATAGCAGCCAATGTCTTGAATTGTTTCATGCATTTTGGAAAGCACTGTTGGTGGAAAGTTTCTGAGCTTTTTTGAGTCTCTTCGAATATGATTCATTTTGTTTTTTTAACTGTACAATTTTTTTGGCCAAATCCTTTTCATGTTCGTTAGTCTTTTTAACTGCTTCTAAAAACAAAGAAAAAATAAAATGAGTAACAGTAGTGAAGCTCCATAATTTTTAACATTATGTAATCTTGTAATAATGTCTTTAAATACAAAAAATACCCTACACATAAAATAGAGCCTTGTATAAAGTGACTATGACATGTGGGTATGAAGTGACTGCACAGTAGTTCCTTTGAATTATTCCTTCTAGTGCATTGGATCAATGTAGTTACTTCTTCGATTACACAAAGTGTTGTTCTGTAGCTGTGATGTGTTTGGGACATTTGACTGTGGTCGCAGCATTGCAATATTCTCACTACTGGGGCCAGGTTGATTCGTCACATCCAATAGTGGTCTTCTTAATTGGGACCCTGTAAATGAAAATTGACATTTTTTACAATTAACAAGCTTTAAAGTGGCACTCATATTTAGTTTTGGTTAAAAAATGTAAGTTTACACATATTTCAATAATGAATATAATTCTTTAAATCTTCTTCTATTTTTGAACAGCAATAAAGAAATTCGCTGTTGTGCCCATATTACATTGTTAAGAGGTTGGAAATTGGGTAATTAGGTATTGACTGAGATTGAAATGCACTATCTTCAGAGCAGCAGCAGTTCTTCTTAAAAGAATTGTACAAAAAAGTCTGATGAAAAACAAAGCCTTACACAAACAACATCACGTTTTTTTGCCAATTGTAATAGTACCTCGTAAATTTTGAGCTTACAGGGCATTGTGGTGTATTCGAACACTTTATATTATATTATCTATGCTAAGTTGTCTGTGGTCATTCTCAAGTACATAAGTTGTGTCCGGTCCGTTTAGTACAGTTTTGTATAAGTATCTTGTGTCTGATTAAACAGTTAATTATAAAATATCATATTTGATTCCGCCGCCGCCTTCCTCACCCTATCCACAACCACAACATTGGCGACGAGAGGGTGAGCAAACTCAGCGTAAAGACCAGCATTAACACGTTAGTGAAAGATTAACAAAATGGCACTCAGTGCATTTATAGGTGTCTTGCCGCCGTACGATACGAACATGAGTTGGATTTGCTGGAGGGAGTTATTTGATGAGTATTGTAGTTTAAACAAAGTAAAAGATGAGTCCGTAAAAAAGTCATTGTTCTTGACCCACATAGGAGCCGCAAATTATAGCATACTCCATAGCACGTGCTTGCCAGGAAAGCCCAAAGAAAAGTCAATAGAAGAGTTGTGTCAAATTTTGGAAATAAAGCATGAGCCTCCAGGTTTAGAAGCTACAAATAGGTACATTTTTCATCGACGCATGCAGAACGACAATGAGTCTGTCACGGATTATATTATAGCCCTGCAAGAAATCGCTAGCAAATGTAAATATACAGAAGTCCAAATTTATGATGTCTTAAAAGACCAGTTAGTATGTGGTTTACGCTCGGAGAGCATAAGAAGGAAATTGTTGAGTACACAAAATTTAACATATGAAAAAGCTAAAGAGATATGCTTACAAGAAGAAACAATTCAAAATCAAGTGTTATCATTACAAGAAAGTAATGGACATAATAATGTAAACAAAGTAAACTACAGGAATAGTAAAAGTGGATATCAGTCAAAACAGTATAAGTCGAGTCAATATCAGTCAAGTCGAGTCCCAGTGCAATCAAGTCATGTTCCAGTCAAGTCTAGAGTTCCAAATGGAATCAGCCGAAGTCCAATGCAAGTTCCAGTCTCAGTTCAACAAAGTAGAGGTCCAGCATATTCCAGTAAATTTAGTCAGCGACAGAATGTCCATAACAGAGGTCAGTCATCAAGTGTTTATGTAAATGAAGAGTGTTACAGGTGTGGAAGGAACCACAACCCGCATACGTGTCCTGCGAGGGAATGGCAGTGTTACAAGTGCAAAAAGGTCGGTCACATATCATATAAGTGTAAGAATAGATTTATTCACAACTGTATAGTAAAGGAAGGTGTCGTGGATGATGAGGAGGTAGAGTGTATGTTGCAGGAATTAAATATGAATACTATTTCACAAATAATGTTTAACAGTAAAAAGTCTGAGTCACAAATTGTTAAAATGCAAGTAGAAAATGTCATGTTACAAATGGAAATAGATACTGGTGCAGCAGTGTCTTTGTTTCCTTACTCATTGTATTTAAAATATTTTAATCAACACAAATTACAACCTACAAACATTAAGTTAAATTGTATAACAGGGAAAATAGAAATAGCAGGTCTATTAAATGTCAAAGTGCATTACCAAAATAAAAGTACAAATCTAACAGTTATTGTGTGTTCTCAGGGTAGGGAGTTTATTCCATTGTTGGGAAGAGATTGGTTAGATGAGTTGTTACCTGCTTGGAGAAGTAAATTATTAGGGAATGTTGGTGATTCTCAGTGTGTCATGTCAAATAATGTCAGCCAGTTTGGTAAAGAAAATATTAATCAGTCCAGTGTAAAAGTGAGTCAGTTGCATAATATGTCAAAAAATATCAATGTGTCAGAGTCGAATGTGTCAAATATAGTTAAACAACTGAAGTGTCAATATAGTAATGTTTTTAATAAAGAGTCAGATACAAGTATTAAGCATTTCCAAGCAACCTTAAACTTAAAAGATAATTATACTCCGGTTTTTCAGAAACCGTACCAGTTGCCTTATAATATTGTCAACATAGTGTCAGAGTCCTTAGATAAAATGGAAAAAGATGGTAAGATATTTAAAGTAAATCATTCAGAATGGGCTTCACCCATCGTTCCAGTAAAGAAAAATGATGGTTCATACAGGTTATGTGTCGATTTCAAGAAAACGGTCAATCCTAATTTGAATATTGATATCTATCCATTGCCTAAAGCAGAGGATGTGTTTGCTACTATGTCAGGTGGATCAGTTTTTGTAGTTTTGGATTTGACAGATGCGTACCAACAACTTATTGTTAGTGAAAGTAGTCAACCTTTGCTAACAATTAATACACATAAAGGATTATATAGATTTACTCGTCTCATATATGGTATTGCATCAGCACCAGCGATTTTTCAAAAGATTATGGATCAAATACTGTCAGGGATTCCAAATACATGTTGTTATATAGATGATATTCTGATAAAAGGAAACAATATGAAAGATTGTTTAGATACAGTTAGAAAAGTGTTGGAAAGATTAGATAAATATAATGTCAAAGTGAAAGAGGGAAAATGTACATGGTTCTCAGAGTCTGTCGAATATTTGGGTCATGTTATTTGTAAGGAAGGTAGGAAACCGAGTAAATCATTAGTCGAGGCTATAGTAAAATGTAAAAAACCTGAAAATGTCAAAGAGTTACGTTCATACTTAGGAATGTTGAACTTTTATAATAACTATATTGGAAATTTAAGTACTTTAACCAAACCATTGAGAGAACTCATAGAAAAGAATGTTAAGTGGAATTGGTCTGATTTACATCAACAATCATTTGAGTTATCTAAACAAAAATTATTGAATAGTGATATATTGGTTCATTATGATCCCTCACTTCCATTAGTACTATTTACAGATGCCAGTCCAGTGGGTCTAGGTGCAGTATTATGTCATGCCATTAAAAAAGGAAATAATAAATTGATGGAAAAACCAATTGCATTTGCATCATGTTCATTAACTAAAGTTCAACAGAATTATTCACAGTTAGATAGAGAAGCCTTAGGTATTATTTATGCTGTGACTAAGTTTCATAAATATTTATGGGGTAGACAGTTTACCTTAATAACTGATAATGCTCCAATTCGTCATATTTTTCATCCTAGTAAAAATGTACCAACGTTGGCAACTCACAGATTGCAACATTGGGCATTAATATTGTCAAGTTATAATTATGATATTCAACATAGAAAAAGTGACTTACTATGCCATGCAGATGCCTTGTCAAGGCTTCCAATTAATAAAATAGTTATAGATAATTCAAGTCATATTAATGAAAGTGTCTTATTAGAATTACCCATGTCTCATGTTGATATAGCATGTGAAACTGCAAAAGATTGTGTTTTGAGTAAAGTATTAGATTATGTTAAGGTAGGATGGCCTAATTATATGAACGATCCAGCAATTTTGCCGTATTTTAGAATGCGTTTTTACATAAATGTAGTTGATGATTGCTTATTGTTTGGTTCAAGGGTGATAGTCCCTCCGAAATGTCAAGCAAAAGTGTTAGACTTATTGCATGAAGGACATCCTGGAATTGTAAGAACTAAGTTACTGGCCAGATCTTCATTTTGGTGGCCTAATATGTCTACTGATATTGAGAATAAATGTAAATCCTGCGAGTCATGTGCAGCTGTTAATTTTAAGTCGGATAATACAACTATTCCATGGCCTCAAACAAACAAACCGTTCGAAAGAGTTCATATTGATTTTTTTGAGTTTGAAAAAGAACACCTTTTGATGTATTGTGATAGTTATTCTAAATGGATTGATGTAAGGAAGATGAGCAATTGCTCAGCTATAGAAGTTATTAAACAGTTAACTTCAATTTTCTCATTTGTAGGGTTACCATGTCAATTAGTGTCTGATAATGGTCCACCATTTGATTCTACATTGTTTATTGATTTTTGCACAAAGTATAACATCAAAGTTTGTAAGTCACCACCGTATCACCCCCAAAGCAATGGGTTAGCTGAAAGGAATGTACAGATTGTTAAAAAAGGTCTTAAGAGAATTATGTTAGATAGTAAAAATAATAAATCAGATTTGGAGTTAAAACTGTATAATTTTCTGATGTCTTATAGAAATACTGAAACAACTGTAAATGTAAAGTCACCTAATGCTATGTTATTTATGTTTAAACCTAGAACAAAAATTACAATGTTAAATCCTATTCATAACAGTAAAAATGTGTCATTACATTCAGGTCATTTTCGTGAAAATGACTTAATTTTAGTTCGTTTTGGTCAAAATAAACCAGTAAAAGGTACTATTGTAAGAATTTTAAGTCCCATGATGTATTTAATTTCTGTAAACGGTGTTCTGAAAAAGGCGCATTTAAATCAATTGTGTTTCGCACCTTTGTTTAGTAGTTTGGATAAAAAATCTGTACCAAGTTGTAAACCATATTTCTCCCAGGAGAAGAATGGTCCTTGTCCAGTTATTCCAAGTGTAATTCCATTCCATGTGTCTCAACCTAATGTAGAAAATCCTAGTTGTAGTACTGTACCAAGCTCTGTACAGAGTTCAGAGGTACTCGCTCCTGTTACCGAGCCTCAACCGAGAACCCTAGTTCCAGTTAGGAAGTCCAGTAGAATAGTCCGTCCTCCAAATAGATTAAATTTGTAAGGGGAGAGTGTGGTGTATTCGAACACTTTATATTATATTATCTATGCTAAGTTGTCTGTGGTCATTCTCAAGTACATAAGTTGTGTCCGGTCCGTTTAGTACAGTTTTGTATAAGTATCTTGTGTCTGATTAAACAGTTAATTATAAAATATCATATTTGATTCCGCCGCCGCCTTCCTCACCCTATCCACAACCACAACAGGCATAACTTGCTAAGGGTAACGTACTGTAATATAAATGTTTAATTATGATTAGTTGGTACACCTGTCATGGCCGCCAGTTGGCATTAAACGTTGATTACGCATAGATGCATTCCTTTTATTTGTGAGCTTTCCAAATGGTACACATACCTTTTAAGTTAAAGTGAATACATAATTTTTGCATACCTGACAAGCAGAGTGTAGGTATAGCATTGGCACTCAGGAATTTACTTCTAGTATGGTAGCGGCTTTCAAAATGCAAGTGACATACATGGCGACGCTTGAAAATAACACTATTTTCTAGAGCCATTACATCACCGCCAACATTGTAAAGCCAGGTCCGAAAACGTTCTGGGTCTTTATCAGGGTTAGGAAATTTGTGAAGAATTTCCTTTTCCAAACCTGAAACAAGACATTCATACTATTTACTTAACAGTGTCTATCTGGGAATTCAAAACTAGAGCATAAAAGGAAGGGATTCTACCAATTATGAATAAGCCGGTGTATAGGAAGAAGCCAATTGGACATAGATTTCTTTAAATTAAATAGATTATTATTACCCGAGAAGGCCTGTCTATTTAGTTTTCATTATGATGATGAAGACACTTAGATGTTCACAAAAATGATAATAAGAGACATGACAATAGAGTGGACTGACTACAGGTACTAAAGAAAAAGAGTAAACTTACCACAGTCCGGAACAGCATTTTTTTTCCGAAGTCATTGTAGCAAATCGTAGTCCGTATTTAAAATAAGCCGAGGTCAACAAAATAGCAGTCGGAGTGCAAAAGGAGAAAGCAGAGGTCAACAATTTTAAACACAGACGCAAGAATCTAAAAATACAGCTCACAAAGTAAAGAATTCCGAACCACACTCGATGACGCGCGGAGATGGAGTAAGCGAATTGAAATATGGATTGCCATCGCTGTTGTTTAAAAATCAGCTTAAAAATAACACGCAATTAAAATCCGGAACTACAAAAGCCGGCCATTTTTGTAAAAAATGTCAATGACATGACAGTTAGTTTGACAGTTAAGATTACTTTCCGTTCCAAGCAAAATATTGTTTGCTTTCATTTAAGCTTTATTTTGAACATTATTATGATTTTATTATTATGATATTCTAAGCTCCAGTGGGTCCGATGTTATCAAAATAATTATATCCATTGTGATTTTTCCATTGTAATAGTGGTAATATTCATCATACAAATGATAACGATTGTAATGAAAAACAAAGTATATGCGTCAAGTGAAACTTATTAGATTACCACCATTTCATTTTGTGTTGCAATAATTTAATCTAAGTCTTTGTTTTAATGCAAATTATTTACAATGTTTTAAAAAATATATGTTTCAAGTAAATTCCTGCCTTTAGAAAATATGTTTTGAGTTCTGAAAAATTTTATAAAAATTGTATGGCCCATCAAAGGAGATGCTATCGCCATCTATTGAATAACGACATAACTATGCTTCCATATACATAGGCCATACAAAGCAAAAATCTTCCTAGTGATTAGACCGTGGGTTTCCCTCACAAACTACTAATGCAAGTGGTTTCCATAGTCTATTTCATGTCTGTTTAACTAATCTACTAAAGCCTCTGTCACAAAAAGAAAAACTAAGGTGTGATGGAGTGTGGTTAGGTGTAGGAATGGGTAATATAGCTTTTTCTGAATATCGTGTCGAAACTATATATCAATATTCGAAATCGGATTTCGAATCTATATATTTTCTGAAACTATATATTCATGGATAGAGCCCGCGTGCGCGCTGCGTACATTGATACATTGCCGTTACTGATATGCGGAATCAGATTTCGAAACTATATATTATTGGATATAGTTCTACAAGAGTAATGCGGGCCAATGTTAGTATACAGTTTCGAAGATGCACAAAAACAGGTTTTGCGTTGATATCCACTCAGTGAATACATGTATAGTGAAAATCTGATACGAAGCAATATTGGTATATAGTTTGGAAAATATATGATTTCATATTGGTATCCACTCGGCAATCGCTCGGCTTGCTTCAGCATCGCTACGCGATGCAGAGTAGCATCGATATATAGTTTCTAAGATATACGATATCGGATTTTCGATATTTCCACAAAGGTTGTAAAAAATGAAATTGTTGAGTAGGTACTTAAAGAACTAACCAGTGACCATAGATCATATACTATCCAGTGACCAAAGCTTACGCTTAAAATGAAAAGCGTGCTTTATGCATTTATTTTAACAGCTATATGTATGAATGAAGTTTTCGACTCGGTGGGAACCGAACCGAGTTCACAAAAAGTAGCTCGAGTTGACACGTGGGATTAACTCGAGTTAAATAACTCGACTCGCCCATCGTCGCCCGCGCCTCGAGCGTGCTGCGAAGGTCGCCGAACCGACCAAGTGAGAACGAGTGGCCACTGCGCAATGCGCATTGCGCTGTATAAATGAAGTATTCGGCTCGGCGGGGTGGGTACCGAGCCCATAAAAAAGTAAATAGCCCATAAGTAATAAAGTCGAGTTGACTCGTCGTAGAAGGAACTCGGGTTAATCGAGTTAAATAGCTCGACTCGCCCATTGCTTGTAGACCCGGGTCGATCTTGACATCTTGACCTATGGGTAATGTGATCCGCTGAAAAGATTCGATCATATGTTCGATCTTTTAGCGGGTCTTCCGTCACTCACTAAACTTCCTTAAGGCGTTTAAAAGTGTCAGATTACACAATTAGCTTTTATTCTTTTCTGCTGAAGGGTAATGCGTATAAAGTTAAATGTATTATTGATAAACCACAGTTAGGGTCGTATTCTAGAACTCGACTCAATGCTCAAGTCAGGATTTGAGCAGACTTCAGTACGATTTCATGTACTGGAAATACGACCCTAATGGCAAGGACTTGAGTATGATTTTCAGTGCTCACTGCAATACTCAAGTCCTGACTTGAGTATTGAGTAGAGTTCTGGAATACGACCCTTAGAACACTAAAATTTCTTTCTAGGAAAAGTAACACCTACAAACAAAAATACATAACAAAAACTTATGAGCATTCAAAATTACTAAGTAATGTATTATTCATTAATATTTTTATATTAGCTAGTGCATTCATATTTTTTTTATAGCCCCGCACTAGGGAAACCCTGTCACGGGTGCCGTGGACACATAGACAACCACAAATTACACCCAAACTCAAAAGAGATAAATGTAGACCATACAAATATTTCTCCCAGCCCGGGAATCGAGTCTGGGACCTCTGCGTGGCAGTCCGGCATGGTAACCGTTCGGCCACAGAGGCAGTCAGAGAAAAATAGATTAAATGTACAAAATTACCGATTAGCGATTAGATGAATGATTGATAGACTTATTGATCCATTAACCCGTTGATTCGTTAATCGATTGCTTGACTTTTTGATTCGACGAACAAATGCTCTATCGAACAAATGTTCGACCCAAACGAAGAGTGAGAAGGCGAACCGTGTCGTGACGTGGTTGGGCTTCACGTGAGAGTGAACGAGACAACAATAATATTGTGAATTTTTGAATAATCTCTAAAATTATAATCGTAAAGTCGAATATTGCGCGCATGACCTATGAAACTAAAATGATCCGGTTATTTACAAGTTAGTAACCGGTTATCGGGTCACAGGTGCTGTTCTAGGATTAGATCGATCACTATTGACACGATCGATTCGCGTGCACTGCATAACCTCAAATTCGAAAAACAAAAATATCCATGAATTTAGTCATTTTTCGACATTTGATATTTGCATTTAATTAATTTCATTCGTTAGCTAAGGTAAATAATAAAACACCGTATTATTTATATGTTCGTAAATTTATAGTATATTGAGAAGCATTAGATAAACTAAATTATAACCTCATTTCAATATTTTTTAGGTAAAAATGACAGTTGCTAGTATCTTGCGACGCACCCTTGTAAATGGTACAGTTTATTCAGCTGCAGGCTTACGCTATGCTTCAACTCAGTCAGAGAAAAAGGTGTTTTTCGATGTAACCGCTGATGACGAACCTTTGGGTCGCATCGTGATGAAACTTTACAACGATGAGGTTCCGAAGACCGCTGAGAATTTTCGGGCTCTGTGTTCTGGAGAGAAAGGATTTGGGTATAAAGGATCGTCTTTCCATAGAATTATTCCGGGTTTTATGTGTCAAGGAGGCGACTTTACTAATCATAATGGTACTGGTGGGAAATCTATTTACGGCCGGACCTTCGCCGACGAGAATTTCACTCTTAGACACACCGGAGCCGGAATCTTGTCAATGGCCAATGCTGGACCTAACACAAATGGATCACAGTTCTTTATCACTACTGCTCCTACACCCTGGTTGGATAGAAAGCATGTTGTTTTTGGATCTGTTGTCGAAGGTATGGCTGTAGTACAGAAAATGGAAAGCTTTGGCTCAAAAAATGGAAAGCCCTCAAAGAAAGTTATTATTGCAGAGTGCGGTGAGTTAAAATGAAACTGAATTTTAATTTGTTTTTAAATTAGTGCCATTGTTGAAATAGATTCTGTAGAATGTTGTAGTAGTTTGTAAGGATAATAATTTTGTAAATATATAAAATTTGCATTTAAAACTAGTTCTAATTTAGCCTAGATCTTTCATCTGCCTTTATTCGTATTTGTAAGAAGTATACCTCAGATAAGTATTATTGGATATTTGTCCTGCTTTTTTCTAGTATGACCATAAATAAGTAGGTGTTTGGAATTTGATTAGTCAGTTAAAAATCATTTATTCTGTTTTGTCTTTGAAAAAAGTCAATAGATAATTCTTCATATCTAGTTTGCTTACCTCTAACCAGGTTTTATTAATTTATAGTGAATATTACTTGTTCAATAGGAGAGTTGGAGGAAAGTATCGAAGTTTCAACTGCTGCGCAGTGATTGTTGCAATCTGGTTTCTCCCAGATTAATTTACTTCCTTAATGTTATATTTACCTTATTGATATTACATTTCTTTTAGTAATATTGTGTCCTACCTGGTTTATAATTATAATGGTTATAATTACTAGGTCATAATTAAATAAAATACAAGTTAAAATAAGTATGCAATTTTATTAATCACTAAATGCAACAAATTAGTTTAAGGGTTAGTTGGTATCATCAAACATTGCCAATGATTGATGTAACAACTTATTCGAATACAGCTAGAGTCAGTATCAAGTCTTAAGACCTATTATAATAAGGCATTTTTAGATAAAACACTCTTTTATATCAAACTATTTTCTCTCTTAACAAATATATGACAAAAATTTACATTGATGACTCCTGTCGTCTTTTTAAAATTTTAACTTGAGATAATATATATTGCTTTAAAATATTAGGTACTAAAATAATGTTTTAGATAGTAATTGAGGTCTTACATCGAAACACCAGCCGAAGAATTGACAAATTTAGTGAATCACCAAAATTAGTTCATGATTATAGTTGTGATTTGAAACAAACCATTGAAAATGTGTGAAATTAGACAACGTACATACTAAAACATTGGAACTAGAAAAATAACTCAAAAATATAAAGGATAAAATAAACTAAAAATATCAACAAAACCCAATCACAAAATTTACTACATAAACGTCATCATTACACACATTCCAGTCACAAAACAGGATTTTGTTACTGTTTGAGATCATAATAAATACAAGAACTTTTATATACACATGTATGCAACAATTGCTAATTTTTTCTATTTCTTGTGCTTTGTTTAATAAAAACGAAGAATAGTTACACTACAGGAATGTTTTATGACTATGTATGGTTTTTTGCTGTGCCACATGATAAAAGTTTGTATATGTGCAATAATAGAATTTTACGTGCATGAAGAATTTCATATCTACATCAGAGAAATGAAGAATTTATGATTATTCTGTGGCACTTTTATTAGGCTTTGTTCTGTGATAAGTCACTTCAGTCTATCAAAGTGATATCTATATCTAACCTTCTTCATACTTATAACTTGTGATACTTTGTGAAAAAATTTTATATACACATTCAAGAGACCTAATGAGCCACATGCCATTGCAGTAAGTTTTTTGATCGTACTGTATTATTAGGCAGATTTTTTCAATAGCTGATAAGTACAACACAGATTTATTTATTCAGGGTTCAAGCGATTTCATTGCTCTGTCCCGGAAAAAGGGCCTGAAGACTCTTATAAGAATTACTTATTCACTTCAAATGTAGATACAATAACTTAACGGGTGTTGTTTGTGTAATCTCATTGATTGGAGTGTGCAATTTCATAGGTAGCTAAATTCTTTCCGATTTTATCAAAGCATCAAATCTACTTTTAAGATATGGTTTAAATCACTCATTCATTTTCTATTTCTAGTTTCAACAAGTCTCGTAACCAAACTAAATAATAAATTTCACTAATGGTTCATTTCACTCAGCCGCACAAGTCACGAGCTGACGTTGAGTGGCAGTGGCCAGTACTAGCGACTTGAGATTCAGAAGACTCGCCTACACGTCACGCACTCCTCTCGGTCGGCGCCACCACAGCTTCAGATACGCGGGTCGAGCGGCACCGAAGCCAACTGGTCGACGCTGCGACCTTTCTGGATCTGCAAGCTCAGCTCGTTCGGTTCCATGGTGATGTGGTGCGAGGATGTCCGCTTGTGCTTCGACTCCGGCGGCTTGAAGTCCTTGGAGCCGGTGCGGCGGTGGCGGAGCACCCCGCCGCCCTCGATGAGCCGCTTGCTCTCCTCGTCCACGCATTTGGTGAGCGGCAGCACCGTGAGGTCGAGGTTCTCCATGCTCTTGAGCGCGAGGTGCTTGAGCTGCTCCAGGCTGAGGTCGCGCGACCCCGAGCGGGAGTGGTTCTTGAAGTCGCGCGAGCCGCTGCGCGAGTGCGCGGCGAAGTCGCGGCTGGCCGAGCGCGGCGCGCTCGATCGCCGCTCGTCGTCCAGCGACAGCTGCCGCGTGTGCGCCTCCAGTTGGATGGTCTTGGAGTCATTGCGCAGGTGGCGCGACGCCACGAGCACGCGCGAATTCCTACCGCGCTGCGACTCTTGCGATTCAGTGCGCTGCAGCTTGGACCGGTCGTGCGCCGCGTCCTGCGTTGGCGCTTCCATGGGCGTCGTGATGGCCGAGCTCTGGCCTGACGTCACGCCCGATCGGAACCCGCTCGCATTGTCCGCTGAAGGCATCTCCTCGAACACTAAAAATATAAGATTAAGTCATCAACAGTCTTCTACAATGTTAGGCTGTAGCTCTATCGATTCGCTAATTCTATCCCGACTTACGTTTGTCAAGACTGATAATGGAACCGGCGATATCCTTGTGAGGATCGAGTGGCGGTACAGTTTCGAGATTTTTTCGGCGCCGCACCAGCCACCAATCCGCCAGAAAGATGCCCAATGCCACTATTTTTATGCCACCGCATAAGCCGACGTATCTAAAAAGATATAAAAAAATATTGAAAGATCTCGAAACTATAACGTTATTTCTACATTAGAATGACCTACATTTCGTCCATATTGTAAGAAAGGTAAAAGAAATACCTAAATCGAAACTGTTCAATGTCATAGAGGAGACATCGGCCGCCCTTTTCGCCACCGCAAGACTGCTTCCAGAGGATGCAAGTGGAGTCGATGAGGTTACCGAAAAGGATCGGTGCGGGGATATAGCCGAATAGACGGAATATCACGAACTGCATGCCCAGCGCGAACGATCGTTCCTCCTCGCTTACAGATCTGAAATTTTAAGATTTGTGTCATTAACACTGAAATTAGTGTCGAACTTTATTTCTATGTATTTATTTACGTGACGTAATGTAATGGAAAACTTTAAAATCGCAATTTATAACGGAGGACAAATTACGGGATGCTTCTTTTTGCTTTCCCTACTACTACTTTGGTACCCTTTCCATACAAGCTCGATATTCTCATGAATTAACTATAGGTGTATAGGAATCAAACCAACCTCAGTACAATCATGAGTAGTGGCATCTGTGTCACGGCCACTACGAAGGTCATGAAAAAGAGCAGTACGAGGAAGGGAAAGATTGTGGTACATGGCGGGTTGCAAGCGCCAGCCGTGGCCACCGGCACGACCGTCACCTCGCCGAAATCGCGCGCCACGGCCCCTGCGCCTGCGGTCAGCGCCGACGCGGATGCGCCCGCCACCACTGCGCTGCTCAAGCTCATGTCTCGGATGTTCTCGTGCACACCTGGTGTAGAAACTCCTTATATCATTTCAAAGCGAACATAAGAACCTTTGCCGACGACGCACAGATGACGCGCGCGTTAACGCGATTCAAACGCGATACAGTTGCAGCGAGTAAATTTTTGCTCACGTTCACAAATTAAGCGGCGCCATAAACGCGCGTCATCTGTGCACATACGCGCCGCAGACGCGCTGTAGTCGCGTGTATGTATCGCGGATTTGATACAAATTTTAGTTTTGGTAATTTCAGTTACTTGTTGAAATGAAGCAACTAAAAAATAACGGCGTTTTTTAAAAAAATATCCTAAAATAGATTTAAGAGAAATCACTTAGTAACTGTACTAAATTATTATTGTTCGTTTTTGGGTGTTCATTTTGCATACATTGCACTAGATACGAAATGTAAACAAGATACAAAATCACAGCAAAAGTAGTCTCCATTATGAAATTGTAAGTGAAAACTCCAGCGGAGTATATAAGCTTTTTGTTTGCAATGCGATGTTTGCGTGCGTTTGAATCAATTCAAACACGCGTAAAACGCGATACAGACTAACTTCACACGCGTTTCTCGCGTGCATAGGCTCTAATATATGGGATATATTTATTGACGCCCCTTAATGCGCACAAAAAAAAGATCTATTTTAATATAACTCGATTATTTTTTGTAGAGAAAACATAACAAACAATAAAATAAAAATACTCAAAAAAAAATTATTTCATTTACGACATAAAAACATAAGGTTATTTATGTCCACCGTTTTCGTCATACATTTTTTCGAAATAAATGGATTTATTTCGACAAAATGTCGTGCGCCTTGTTGAAAGCAACACGCCTGTTGTTGAGTAAAGTTGCAGTGCTATGTAAAGCTTTAAATCGCAAAGATCTGAGGGGTTCTTCCACTGCGACCGTCATCCTGAGATGTAAGTTGACAAGTCCCATGTGCCTGTAACTTCACCAGCACCTTTACTCTTCCCTTAGCCGGAACGCAGTAATTTACTAACAGTACTAATTGGCTGCAGAAATAGGTAAGGTGGCAGTATTTCCCTGGACGTACACTTTCACAAGGAGCCTACTTCTACTAAAAAGTTATGTTAACGTAATATAGTATTTAATGTCCGTCCTATTTATGGCAACTCTTTAATGGTGTTTTTGTATTTGCGATTATTCTGTGGTGGTTTTGCAACTGGTGTGATGTCAGTGGTTTACTTTGAGATTGCCTTAGGTCAGGTTTATTCATAGAGTGCGCACCTTTTGTTTGTGGCTATCCCAGAGACGATGTAATTTGCTATCTAACCCGTATCATCTTTAAAATAGAAGCGCAGCTGCAGCGCCAGCTGCCACAGTCGCGCCACTTTTGCAGATTAGATATTGTATGAAAATTAGTGCACCACTGCAACTGCAGCGCCAACGACGCGCCACTTCCAGCGCTTCTTGTAAGCGTCTAATTTGAAGGCGTCCTAAGTATTTGTTAAAGAGTATATCTATATATCAGTTTAACTACATACGTCTCTATGTCATTGCGAATAGCTAACATGACAAAATTTAAACAACCTTCATTTTAATGTGATTAGATTACTTATTATTTTAGACGTTATATCAGTTTGACTAATTAAATTGCATGTTTCTAAGCAGGAAAAAATATATTCGTAATTCCATGCCTAAACATAAATAATTGTCAATTTTTGTAATATTTTTTGTTATTTATAAACACTTATTTCGCATACGTTGTACTATCGGCGTTCCGGATTGGCTGGATAAAACGGCAAAAGGAAAATGCTAAATTCAATTGAAGCAGGTTACTTCTTAGTTGGAATGGTACGATGAAATATAAAGAGGACTTTCACTGTATTTATAGTTCAGAGTATGAATCGCTTTAAAATCTGGTCTTATTTTATGCTTATCTCGTTATTTGCATACGTATAGGTATGTAAAGCTTTTTTATTTTATAATACTAAGTGATGGGACGAACATGTCTGGTGGTAAATGACACACACGCCTATCCATAACAGTTGCAGTGCCACTGAGAGCTTTCGCAATCGCAAAGATCTGAGGTGTACTGCAACTGCGCCTGTCACCCTGAGACATTAGTTGACAAGTCCTATGTGCCTGTAATTTCACTAGCACCTTTAACCTTCTAAACCCGACCGCAGTAATGCTCACATTACTGCTTGGTGGCAGAAATAGGTAAGGTGGCAGTAGTTCCCTGGACGAAGTATTTCACACGGAGCTCTACTAAAAAAAGCTATTTATAGACACAAGAAATATAAGTATAAAAAATGCTCACATGCACAATTAGTGAAGTTGGACCTAGAAGAAAAGGCGGCACAGCCAGCGTGGCATGGCGAGAAATAAGTGAGGCCGTTGTTCCCGCACACTGGTTCCATGTCCGTCTCAGTGCAGAGGCAGTTGAAGTTGCACGCAGCCGTCAGGTTCACTTTAAACGGCTCCAAGTTGCTATTGACAAAACTACGGATTAGTAAATGCTCTATCTATAAGAGATTATGTGTAAACACTTTTAATGCTCAGAGATTACGACTGTTTTTAAATTTTGGTGTTTGTAAATTAAACGTCCAGTCCACGAATAACAGAAAGAAGCTCACCTGTTATTAGTGTAAGGAATGGTGGTTCCAGCCATTTTAATGTTATCGCAGCCTAGGAAAAAGAGCAATGCGTAGCAAGATAGGCAGATGGTGTTAGAAATGAGAACGAATTGCACGGCCCCCTTCGGCCGCAGTTCGAGTCGCTTCAAGAGGCAGCCACCCATGAAAATTCCAATACACGCGCCCGGTATCGCCACTGATCCTGTAAATGGTAAAATATTAAAATTAACATAAAACGGATTTCGAAAAAGATTTTAGCTATGATCGAAGTTTACAATTCTTTACAGGCGTAAGGACGGATAAGCAAGTGGCAGGTGGGCAATTTATTTTTATTATATTTATAACATTGTCCGAATGAATAACTTTTTCTTGAATCTAAAAACGGTAAAAGCATCATAAATTTGGTTACTGGGTAAATAATCGCTGTGTAATCGGTTAGATACCTGTGAAGACGCTAGCCTGACTTTTGCCAAGGCTAAACTGTGTCTCAAGGTACTTGGGCAAGAACACGACGAAGCCAGACACTATCATGAGCTCCATGCAGGCACCGAGACATGTTACTACGTACACTGGATTTTTGAGCAGGCGCCACATTGAAACTGGTATATCTGAGGGTAAAACATTAGAAGAGTTAGACATGTATCTTTGCACACAAAACGTATTAGCTATTGATATCAATTATTAGCGGATTTACCTTTGATATCTTTCCCATATCCCGTATCTTTGATTTCTGTCTGTGGTTTGGGCGCTTTTGCTGTACCAGACCCGCTGGCAGCCGCTGCTTTTTCTACAAGTCTTATTTTCTCCTTTTCTCGCACAAGAACTTTTGGGAACGAGAAGAATGGAATAGCCACCAGAATAAGCAGTAATCCACATAATAGAAAACCGCCCCACCACATTCCGACCCATCGATGGTCGCCAGGGTCTGTAATATAAAAAAGGTAAATAAATAATTCAGAGTTAATGAACAGCGGTGTCGTGATCGTGACCCCATGTTGGATAAAAACGCAACATGGTCAGCATGAACCGTCATATAAACGTTTCGTGCTCCATTGTACCTTCCTTGAAATTTTCATTACAAATTCTTTGTGCCTGATGCGGAACGTATAGACAGTTACAATTGTTTTTGACTCACCTATAGATATAATAGTACCAGAAAAGGAATCCATGTGGAAAGACAGCAAATAAGCACCGAGAAGGAAACCCAGGACCGGGCCGAACGCGGCCATACTGTACATGCATCCTAAAAATAACAAAAATAATATCAATGTTTGGCTTGACAAACACACATTTATTCATGTCTACTGATTTGTTTATGAACCTTCGCAATACGTATATTCACATTTATAGTGGTAAACGAATGATAATAGTTTTGTAACGAATATTCATGAATATTTCTTAAGTTATACGAATCGCAGTCAATGAAGGAATTATAGCGTTGGTGCAATCACGATTTTAAATTCTGATAGAACCATAAAATTGGATTTTCTCCATCAAATGTATAACGGAAATTTTACATCAGATGCTGCGCCGTTCCCAATTTATTACACTCCACAGAGATTTATGGAATTTGATGTGTCTATTGGTATCCATCTCTGTTTTAAAGAAATACATTTTTCGATCGCCACGGATTTGGGTGTGGGTGCACGCGACCTGTCATCTAAACCTCTGTTGTTTGGTTTGTGGTTCTGACTAAAGAAATGGCTGCATGCAGTATTAGTAAGCCGCCAACATTGCGGGTCGAAACTAGGTCAATTCCGTTTGGTACGCCGACAAATGAGCACGAATTTCGTGGCAAATATCAATGACTTATGATTTGCCAAACGCGACTCGCGTGAGAAACCATATTCTGTCCCATTAATTTGGTCCATTTACGTGATTGTTATCTCAAATCCATTGTTTCGAAGTCGATTTGCGAGATTCTCATGGTCATTAAACTATAAAACACAAAAAAATTACTGTATAGGCAACTAACTTATTTGGACCCAAACCTGACAAAAGAACAATTGTAAAGCATTTCATTATTAAAATGGATGTTATAAACTATTGTAGCCCCATGACGCGGATATTTGTTGAACAGTTATGAAGCATTGCGTGTTCCGTTTTTGTAAATTTTACATTTCTCTTCGTTCACAACTAAGTTGTGTTTGTGCCAGGTTTTCGATGCGGATTTGAAACTTTGTTGACCTTCAATTAACGATATTTTTTTACAATCGTAAACATAATAAATAAAGCACGACAATTTGAATACTTTAATGTGTGGAAAGGTACTTAGTGGTTCGTTGTTTGAAAGATCACAAGATTTTCAGATGCAAAGTGTTTTTATAATAAATCCAATGAAGAAAAAAATGTCTTCGAATTTTTAAGGCCGAAAGGAAGTGAAACCGGAGGGAACCTGTCTGCAATGTAATAGAGGCCCTTCAGTACTCACTTGTAGAGGTTCCGCTTTGAGGGCCTTATTAAAATCTCTCGCCATTGACGGTGGACAGATACAACACCATTCAGACTACGATTATAAATCAAATAACAGGATTTTCATCTTTTACTCGGATTCTTTTACCAGATATAGCATTTGGGAGACCCGATTTCCTAAGAGCTCCTGTATCTATTTGATTCCCACCGGAGGCCTGCACCATGGAGTATTCATATCATCGCCTTACTTTCTCAAAATCGTGTCTTAAAGCACAAAGTTACAGAAATGCAACACATGGATTGCAAATACAAATTTTGCAGGCTGATTTCACATCACATTTCCTTCATATTCACTCACTACCTATTCTTAAAGTAATGCATCCAAATTAACACCCTTGATAAGAAACTTAAAATAAATATAAAATTTTGGCATCTCCTGAATAATCACTCTTTATAAGATACGAGTTAGAGAGTAAGGTAATACGCAGTTTTTTTTAAATTATGATTTAAAATTAAATGGATAAAACAACATAATGAAATTTGTATGACGGATAAAGGTCATACTCGTATAACTACTTCTCCTGGGGAGTTAAGGTCACCGTGGTGGACCATGACCAAACTGAATACCGTGTCCGTAGTGTAGATCAGTGCTGAGTAGTGGGATGTACATGAGTAGATATTGATCGCGATTCTTAACTAGTCAGATGCAAAACCATAGGATCCCAAACTTTTTGATTCCCCGCCCACAAAAAATAATTACGAATTTTTTACCTTATTATCACTAAAAATCACAAGGATAAAAAAATTGTGTATTTTTTTATTTTTCTTCTTTTTTATGATACCAAATGACGGGACGAACAAGTCGTGGGCCTGATGATAAGCGACACGCCTGTCCATAGCATTTGCAGTACCACTCAGTGCTTTAAATCACAAACAAAGATCAAACGAACTCTTTCACAAGGAGTTCTACTGCTACTAAAAATTCGTAGCGTAGTTTGTATAGATAATTTCGATCTTTTTTTCAAATGCGCTAGTACCCCTGGACAGCATCAACGCCCGAGGCAAATGCTACCGTGCTACCGTGGCCTCTACAGCCCCCCTAGAACTCTTCAGCGCGCACTGGGGGGGCGGTATCAAACAATTTGGGAAACTATGTGCAAAACAAGCAAGTTAATTAAGATTTTGTAAGAAGATTTAAAATGCCTAAAATTTTTAGGACATAAGGCTATCTTTACCGTAAAGACCAATGTTTAAAGTCGATGTGCAGAGTATAGTGTCCATGTCATAATATTTGTAATTTTTGCATGTAAAAGGAAAATGTATAGCAGAAATAAGATAAAACCTGTCAGTAATTTAATCTCACGTAGGCGAGACGTCAACATCCTGCAATTATAGAGATGTACTTGTACGGCTCCGACGTGTATGTATGCATTGAGTAGAAACAACGGACAGCATGTCGTTACTTAGTAACGTAGGAAAATCGATACGATTGACTTTATTATTTGACTCGGTGAGTGGTCTGTTAGTGTTTGTGAGAAAAAGTGCAAACATGGCTTTTGAAGAGCAATTTCTTTTGGATTACTGGGGGATTGTAGATCGGCAGAGGTGTAGGTCAAGGGCGCAGGCCTCCTTTGCGAGGGTGGCGAGCGCGCTGTAATAGTCGTTTTATTAACCGATTCTAGATTGTTCACGCATTGTAACACTCATCAAAAGAACGATTGAACGCCGAATAATTAAACGATTTTAGACGTAACAAAAGAAACTTGATGAATCAAGTTGTAGTTATTGTAATGTAAGCGAATAATTGTGACATTATTTCATATAGGAGTAACGATTTAGTAAATGTAGTTAATGAAGAATATAAATAAATGACCGAGGTTTGTGAGTCATTCCAGGGTGTACTAGTTAGCCTTATAGTTCAATACAAGTGTTTAATTGGTAAGTTTAGGTAACAAGAAAGCGTTTCGTCTATACGCCTCTGTAAATCGATCAAAAACTCATCAATCATCATTCTGCAATGGCATGTAGTGACTACTAGGTACTAAAATATTCAAGCACATGAAACTTACATTATAGATGCCGCGATTATGTGCAATTTGTTATACTAAAATGTGTTAATTTAAATTTTCGTAAAATCGTTAACGCTAAAGAAAAAGAAGACTAACGACAATCGTTTTTCTTATGTTATGAACGCTTTAAACATCGTTATTTGAATTTCGAAAAAAATAATATAACTATAATCGATTAATTAATGTAACATTAATTTTATAGTAGTTAAATTTCTTGTTATTTAGTTTAAAGCCATTTCAAGCTGACGGTTTTGTAGCCAAAGCTCAATAGAAAATAAAAAAATAAAACTACAATAATAATCCCAGACATTATTACAATGTTCGTGCGACCTTGAAACGCTCGTATTATGTATGATACATTTCTCGTGTGTCCTATAAAATTTGAAATTGAATTTGTAATGTATACACAGAAATCTAAATAAATTTGCCTATTTATTTAGATTACAGTGATTTTATATAATAATAATAGAAACAGCTGAGTTTCGACTATCGAGCGGTTACATCCTTAATAACGAGCATATTTTACTTATACTTTAATAGCGTTAAATTAAGAGCAGGAGAAATGGAAATGAGATCAATGCTTCGAAAGCAAATCAATTGCTCGTAATCATAACATAATATGTATAGATACTCGAGTATGAAAAAGTAACGTAGATACAACATGCACGTGGGGGACAACAACCTGATTCATTTATTAAATGGATCATGCAGTTTTACGGCTCTGCATCGGTGATTCAAACGTGCTGGAGCAATTACACAACACGAAGACTGCAAATAACAGATACGCATATTTATATGAGTGATGTTAGTTTTTACTATATAAGATATTATACCAGCACATTTAGCGGAACCATAAATAATGATAATATAAAATAAAATAGCAACGTGTATATTTAAATAAATAAGAATTAGACGTAAAGTAGCAATTAATTTGACATCTTTTAATATCAACTTAGTATAACCTTGCACATTTATTAAAAAATAATCAAAATAAAAAAAAAAATAGATTTCTGTGATAAAGCAAGCTGAAGATGGAACAAATAAAAATAGTATCAGTTTAACATTGAATAAATTAAACTATAATGAATTAAAAGCTTTTGCAACTACGAAATTGACAAGAACGCAAAACCGACCTCGAATCATTCGACAAAACTGTACTAGTTGGATTTTATTTAAATAAATTGATGAATGAATGATTTTTTTTTAATTAGAAAGAAAGAAAAAAAATTATCACAACCAGACTTTTGAAAAAGACACTGCAGTATTTTAGAGATTTTATTAGTGTTGTTGCACATACCTACTTCCTGAACTACGTTGAAGTTAAAATTTAAAATTATTTTGTTCATATACATACATTTATGATAAGGTATCACTGGTTTGCGATACAAAGGCCTAATTATCGTCAAAATCGTAGCTATGGACTAATTAAATAATATAGTTATTATAATACAATGGACAACGTAGATTTTTTAAAAGTATACGTGAAATGTTTAGAATTCACTGATATTTTTACGAAAAGTTATCCATTCGAATGCGGATGGATTGAAAAGATCGAAATAAAAACAGTACCCAAGTCGACTCTGATCACCTATGAAGCAAACTAATTTTTTTTATTTTTTTTTATTATGCCAAGTGACAGGACGCACAACTCGTGCGCCTGGTGGTAAGCGACACGCCTATCCATCCTATCTATAACAGTTGCAGTGTCACTCGAAGCTTTAAATCGTAAAGTACTTAGGGGCACTCCACTACGCCTGCTACTCTAAGGCATAATTTACGAGTCCCACGTGCCTGTAATTTCACCAGCACCCTTACCCTCCCAAACAGGAACGCATTAATGCTCACATTACTGCTTGGCGGCAGAAATTAGATTCTTACAGAAATTACTTCCTGGACGAACTCTTTCACGAGGAGCTCTATTGCTAAATAAAATTGTGCGTTTTTACTTGATCTCAATTTGAATACGGTACAGAACACGCATCGTATAACTTGAATAAATTCGATGAAGGCGTCTTTGCGGTTCACGAGGTGGACGCCAGAGCACGATAACAAAAACATGCAATATACGCAGGGTTCGAGAGAGGACGTTGGCTTTTTAAAACATTTTGAAAATTCATATCGGAGTACGTACCAATATACATGCTGGATGACTCAGGTCGAACGTGATCGTCGACGTATGTGGTACCCAAAGTCAGTAAAGGGGAACCTCCGCATCCAAGCAGCAATTGAGCTACCACGAACACCATCACTGGCATAAATGTACTTGGTGTACTCTGTTAAATGAAAGAAATTATTAGGAGAGTGTAGAGCTATTCGCAATTGTAAGTTACTTTGTTAGGTTTCTCGTGACTTACCTTGATGCAATTATCAGGCCTTAAGTTACTCGGCGGCAGACCCGGTAAGTTTCCCAAACTACTCATATCTCCTGGCAATCGCGTTATCCGACATATATTGTCATCAGATTTGTTATTTGCTAGCATTTCACTGTTTTGTTCAGCTATGAAGTGCGGCAAAACAAATACCAATGATCCAATACCCATTATCACCGCGCCTATAACAATAGAAATGGTCACGATCTATTTTTTATTTCGATTATAAACAAGTATTCAGAAAAAAAAGGTCTTACCGACAGCTATCCATACAGGTATATGCCTCCTGCTGCCGAGATAAGAGACAAAGATCACGGTGATAACATTGCCAATCTCGTAGCTGCTGGCTATAAGCCCCGAGAGACTCGAAGGGATTTCGAACCGTTTCTCAATTGTCGTGATCACAGAGTTAATATACCCGGAGCTTAATGCTTGTTGCAACGTCACCAGGAACGAAAGGAAAAATACAAATACCTGTAAGTTAAAGTTTGTTATTGATATAAAGTTAATTGAACAGTACAGGAAGACGTTCAGGTATTAATTTTCCCAACGGTAAATCTGTTAATCGACAACTTACTTTAATACTAGAAAATTTCTGGATTAATAGCGGTCTCCACGATAAGATACCGCAGTCTCTTGCGTCATGAGGAATGTCTAATATTTCTGGGTACATTTGTCGGGGTTTCTCTCGTTCCTTGTCCCGTTCGCGATCTCTGTAAGAACGCAGGAATCAGATAATCACGCAAATGAGGGAAATTAGAATGAGTAACTGAAGGAGTGTAAAAGGTTTACATCAGGAATGTGTGTTACCTGTCGCACATTCCAGATGAGGGATTCCGACTGTGGCATTTGATGGATTCTCGAGGGGGACGTGAGGGGTGGGCAGGCGTGCTGGGTCCAGCTACATCGTCGCCGGCGCCTTCCGTGCAGCCCGACTCCGCGTATAGTCCCGTCATAGCATACATTGACTCTTGTCTCCTGTTGATAATTTTGTTTAACATATTACACAGTTCATATTTCATAGGGATAAGTTGAGCTTATGAGGAGACCAAGAAAGTACAGTCAAGTGCACAACAAGCTGGACAAGCACTTTGGACCGTTCTTATCGCAAGCGGCAAGAGTTGAATTTCAATTTTAAGTATCAATCTTGACGTGATATTGACTATGTACTAACGTGTATTAATTTTTTATTGAAATGTCAAAAATATATGTACTTTAAGCTCCTGAATGAAATACAGTGTTCATGCGAATAATAATTAATTCTTACCACAGTAATCATGACCATATAGGTATTTAAATGACAGATATTAATTATTATAACAGCGGTTATGTTGAGTTTATTGTCTTGATAATTACAATGAAGGGAATATGATTAAAATTGTCTATCTCCAACGTGTTTACAAACAATTATAATCGTTTGGATGATACATGGCGTACATATCGTATCGACGAGGAAAATAGTACAAACAATGAAAATGAACTACCTTTCGAGCAAACCGTTGAGTTGATCAGATGTTTTTTCCAGCATGGTGTTTTAGTCACTGGTATAATTACGGTAAACAAATACAATTCAACAACAACACACAATGGTTTTGAGTCACCCCATTAGCACTTAGGCACAATGTATGCGATTTAATAGATTCTGTGCCTCTGTATCAAGATGGGCACGAAAAGCGCGTGCCTCAAACTAAGTGAGTGAAGATGTTAAAAGTAGGGCTTAGTCTGATGAGTGATATCAGAGGAAGGTGCGATTAGGTGCCAAGCGAATTTGGGCCATGCGTCGTACAACACCACTATCTAAGTTATCGTGACACGTGTTATCGGGTAGAGAGCGAGAGAGTTTACTATCGTTGTCTTTGATGTGAATCATAAAGTTAATTAGACTAAAGTTAGTCTCTTGTTGTCATACACCAAGCCTGAAAATTATCTTCAGGTAACGAGGTTTTTAAACTAAACTGATTAGTCAGTAATTTTTGCAGCTAATTAACATATATGTGCAGTTTGGCTTTACGTTGTAATGTTTAAAATACGTAGGTATAATTTGTAAAATAGGAAACTTGTTCAAATAATACTCAATAGCCATTTCAATAAGCCAGAAGTGTTACTTGTGTAGGTGTGCGAGAGAGGGGAGCGGCAAGTTGAGCAAATATTAAAACAACATAGTTAAATTGAAGTGAGTCAGCGGTCGAGGGTGGGTCAACCTTCAGTTTTTTCAAAGCGCTGTTATTTATTACTTAAGCAACGACAATAGCGATACGAGATAATAATATATTTATATATAATATATAATCTTTCATGCATCTTTCAAGAGCATTGCAGAGTGTCAAGTCGATAGATGTCCGATTTCTAATGAAACATTTCCTGTTTATTGTATTGTAAGGCAAAATAATCAAGATGTGTCATCAACTATTTTCAGAAAATGTTGCTTATTCATTATGTTACCGAAACCTGGGACTACAGTTTTTTTTAATAGACGATAAACTGTATTTGGAAGAAATCAACTCAGTTTGCCAAAAGTGTGAAAAGTTTTGTATAGGAGGACTTACAACTTTTTCCATCCCAATTCCACCCAATAACTCTTTATTATTTCCTGGCCCAATTTTAATTATCTTATCTTCAGTACTTTGTGTACTGCACGTACAGACACTTGTTTACGCATGGGAGCATGCAATGACGCAAGACTAGATACGCTACTCTATAGATCATTTAGGAAATATTCAAAATAAGGCCAGCAAGTTTTTGACCAAAATTTAATGGTCTACATTCTTAAAAACATGATAAAATTAAGATTATCACGGTTCAGTACTTCGCATAGCGTAATCCCAATTAAGATACCGCGAACAAAATTGATTAAAGCTATTGCTAAACAGAAACTGAGAATGACAGCTGTGACAGTGAAATGAACGAACATCGAAGACACGAATATAAAATATCGTGTGAGTACGTTCGATAGAGATTGACGAGGTTTTGCAGGCTACATGTCTGCTAACAAAGTAAACGAGTTATAAATACCGGTGTATAGGAAAACAAGGCCAATGCACTGAAGCATTGGTAAAGAAAAGCATTATCTTGTCTCAGCGAACAGATACCGGAGGTAGATGCCATCTACCTATGACCGCACAGACGGGTAAATGTATACAAGTAAATGTTATTATAAGCCAGATGTCGATCGAGAGTGAAGTCCAAACATCCTGGATGTAACGATCAAATAAAATCGACGACAGTAAATTTTATCAACAAATGTACATCATGGTGTTTTTTTACAATCTGTAGAAATATTATATTGCACAGATTTATATTCAAAGCTGACCAAAATGGAAAGTAAAAAGTGAACTCATTATTTTAATATACTAGGGTAGATAAGTGTAGCAAATGGGCATATAACAAATGGGTCGCGATAAATTCGTGTTCCTATGCTCTCGACTCATTTATCACTATTGAATGAAAACATTGTGTAATCGGCATTAAAAACTATACCTACATCCGTATTTCTAATATTACTATTCGTGAAAACCTACAGTTTGTTAAAGAAAGAGTAAAGACAAGGAGTAATTGCTCGCAAAATATTTAACAAGAAATCTGGACAAATACGAAACAATGTTCAAGTTACGCAACTATCTTGTCATTTTAAGCACCGATTCGTCGAATACTTCAAAGAGCCATATAAGATGAGCACAAATGGTCAAAGAAACATAATAATATAAAAATGTTCTCTTCTACAGGAGAAAAACAAGCGAAAATTTTTTTCTCTAAAAAGTGTTCTATAAAAGTTATTTGGATTAATATAAAATGGTGTGTTGGTTTTTAGAACAAACCTGTGTCCTTTCCTGTGTTGCGGCGCGGCGTTGGTGCCGCCCGCGTTTTGCTGGCGCTCTCCCTCCGTCATCTTGGATCAATGCGGACCTCACCGCTCGCCCATACCAGGCCACACGATGCTTCTCCACCTGCAAAAAACAGAAATAACCTATTTCACTTATTCTTACAAGGATCAAAAAGAAATAAAAAATATCGAGATCTTATAAAATCGCTCACGTGTCGTTAATTAGTCGGTATTACGTATACAATATTAGACGTGGTACTTTATCGTGAAATGTTAATATACTAGGTAAAATATAGGTTTCTTTAGTACATAATATTACGCCAATGAAAGTTTACATTAACTACCATAATGAAATCGAGTTTCCTTTACATACTTCCTATTATTTGTTGGAATAGCGGTTTTGCTTCGAGCACAATAACAACATATTTTTCTTTGTTGATCATCGAGCATGAGAAAATTATACGTGAAACAAATGTCACAAAACCATTTGCTTTTGTTTAGTGAAAGTGCATAGACATTTGAAGTTATGGTGAGATTCGCTAAATGCGAAGGCAAAGCCATTAATAATAATAAAAAGACAGTGCAGAAAATTAGTATAAGCTCAGAGAATGGACAAATATAAAATAATAAGTGGCTGTACTTCCATTTCAGATTTATAAGAAAACTCTTATCTAAGAATGGAATACATATTCAAAAGGAATTAATCCATACCTATATTGGAGGTAACTTCATATAGGTATTTATGGCATTTATGCGTAGATATTTAGTTGTAACGTACATTTGCGTAGGCACAGGCAACGTTTAAAGGAATCTAAAGACGAATAGAGAAAATGTATGAACATTATTGGCTCATGTATTACGCCCACGTTCGCGCACAGAGATATATCAGCTGTGTTCTCGTACTCATATACATTCCACACGATTGCTATTATTAAAATGTCATCTTCAGAAAGACAGCTCAGTCTATTGGAAAAGTCACAGATAAGTATATTGCGCATACTCGTAAACGTGCAAGCTCAACGACACGGTGGCATCGAGTGTAGGCGTCATTTGTCGATAAATGAATAACATGTATATTTTAACGATAATAATACAACGTCTTAACACAGCTGAGTTTTTCTTTGTAAAATATAGAGAGTGTGAAAAGTAAAATGCTGTTGACACACAAGGTCCGACTGAATGTCGTCCTGAGCTATACTAACTGCTGGTTAAGCTGTACAAACTTTGAAAGACTGAAATCTTTGTTGCTTATCATACTCAAATGAATCGTTTCTGAAAATAGAACAATGTGGCGCAGTACTTATTTTGGTCTCCAGAGCTACCCCCTACTGATCGACACCCAGCGCCGATTTACTTTTAATACCGACCAAATGTCAAACTCCTAGAATACATCAGTGCACACGCTTAATCTAAATTTAGATTACAAACTTCCATCAAAGCAAATTTACATAATTCTCTATGCAGATTCAACTGAATCTGTCATCGATTCACTAAATTTTCCTAGATTTGTAATCGATGATTGCGGTCAAACGGCATTTGTACAGTAAAGGCCACTTGGTTGTCTAACGGGGTAAAATATCGTGCGGTCATTGCTTCGCGTAGTGCAAAAAACTGAACGTTGCTACTGCGACACTTCGAAAAGGCGGTCTGGCTGGAGTGTACACACTATGTTCAACTTTAACGAGTTGAGGGTCGCTGTTACGAGCAGTTTTTAATTACACGTCGACTTTTAAAAGGTCTCTACACCTAAGTGAACGTTACAATTAATTGAACCGACTAAATTCAATACCATGGCAAGGTAAATTGAATGTACACTAGTATATACTAGTATGTATTACGTAGTATAAGAAAAATAATTTAATCTATAGTTTGTAATATATTTACGTCAGATTATATATATTCGGTGTTCAATATCATATGAAATATCGTTGCTGTTTTGTAGAATCAATTTTTCAGGGCGCTTGTTTTAGGTTTTAACGACTGTTTTAAAATATTTACGTCCTGTTTTAAAATTCAATTTTGGTTTTAGTTAAGTTTAAGTTTTAAAATTCGATTTAAGATAAATATTTTAAAATAGTCACAAAAAACTAAAACATGCATGCTCCCCTGAAAGTTTCCGAAATGGCGCTTTCGCCCCATCTTCAAAACACCGACAATATTATGTCATATAACCATCATAATATTTTGACGACAGCGGTGGCCCACCGATTTGCACTGTGGATGAGGAGGTTCCAGGTTCGATTCCCAGTAGGACCAATTTGGGAAATTAACTTTTCTAAATAGGTTCTCGTCTGGGTGTTCTGAGTGAGTGAGATCAGAGTGAAATCAGTTGCTCTGGTACTCATAGTACAGGGAATTCTCTAATTTCAGACCAGGCAATTAGAGTGATTGTCTGGCAAGAAAAAAAAACACTTAGGCGAGGTCGGTTTACATTGTTTCAAATAGTGAATGATGGATTTAGAAAGTATCAGGAATTTAAAGTTATTCAGATACTGTATTTTGTACTGTCTAGACTTTTTTTAATAAACTCAAGTGACGGGACGAACAAGTTGTGCGCCTGATGGTAAGCTACACGTCTGTCCATAACAGTTGCAGTGCCACTCAGAGCTTTCAATTGCAAAGATCTGAGGGGTACTGCCACTGCGCCTGTCACCCTGAGACATACGTTGACAAGTCCCATGTGCCTGTAATTTCACATTACAGTACACACAGTACAGTACATTATTGCTTTGCGGCAGAAATAGGTAAGGTAGAAGTAACTGTGATTCCCTGGACGAACTTATTGACTGCATTACTTCACGAAGTTTGAGAAGATAGTGGAGTACATCAGATATAAAGCTAAATACACCGTGAGGGTCGAGCGGTTGGAGTCCCGCCACAACGTGAATTTTAATTCGTTTGTGGTGAGAGTGCCGACCGAACATCTGTCGACCTTCGTGAAGGAAGAATTTTGGCCGAAAGTGTGGTTTTAAAATTTATTCATGTGCAATATTTTCCAACCTACATCCAGGTTAACAGAGTAGGTTGAAGAAATTGCTGTATAGCGTGCCCGCTAAACTGGCTATTCTAATTATATTCATAAATAAATGCGACCAGCACCTATATGCTGTCGTGGAGCACAGTTGGCACCATGGATTCAGATTTACATACGCGTCTGTCAAAACAAATCAGTTGTTTATTTTGGTGACACCATATAGTGTAGAAGGTTTCATTATCGTCGTGGTATTAAATCATGAGACCACAAGACATTCTAACGCTTGACAATATTCCAAGAAAGATTGATTTGTCATAAGTTGCGCTGGTTATGGCAAATTTAGGTTACGATCGCCAACCTGCAATCGGGTGCACAGGAGATATTATCATGTCCATATATGTAAATCTTAGCTTTAACATCCTAAATGAAATTCGTGAAAAAATTAAATACTTAAAAGTCGGCAGTTAGAAAGAAATAGCAATACCTGTTTGTGACGTTGCAAACTTAATGCCGCAACATAATAAAGGTGCGTATAGATTTGTTCAATTTCTGACGATCGTTATTATCACTTATTAGAAATCGATAAATATAAAGATTAAAATCGAAGAAATATGTAGACACCTACGCCTAATTCGAATTTCACGGTGGTTGTGTCTGTCTGTTGCTTACACATTTACTAGGTTTTGTTTGATGACACGTGTAGTTCGTTAAAAAAATCGAGCAAATCTATAGGAACATTAATGATCCTTACGCTGTAAAGGGAGGGAGCATACTCACATCGTTGGTTGAGATATCCATTGATTCATGCTCAATACATTTGAAACAATAAAAACTTTTGAGTCAAATGCCCTGTGTGAACAAAACGATGAGTAATAATGAGTGTGAGAAGGCGAAGCGCGTCTCACGGCTGTACACGTTTATAACTGTTTGCCTTATTAATGCTGAGACAATAAGTATAACCAGCCCCCGTAGCATGCCGCCGTGATAAAGCTATTATATCCGCATTTAGTTGTAAAATCGCGATTTTAAAATTTTATCACAATAGCTAACATGGTGATAACCGTGACGTCATAATTTTGTAACATAGCGAGCGTCTCGACCAATGGCTGCAAAAGAATATCGCAGTGCCAAACATGGCCGCAAGGTCACATCTGATTTGAAAACATTTTGATAGTTCTGCACAGTAATTTTATTAATGTAAGAAACAATAAAAACCAATAAATTTATATACATACATTATTGGAAAAGGTGAGGTGAACATTTTTAATACAGTTCAATACGTGAGAGTAATTACAAATACGTAAATAATAACTAATATAATGTAAATATGTAAAAACTGAAACTACAAAACTCGGGCCGGTATTTTTTTTTGTTGTTTTTGCAGCGATGATTAAACGACAAAGATACTAGTTATATACGCAATTTCATATCGTTATCCTTGTCCTTCAAAATGTATAATAATAGTTCATTACCAAGTACACAAAAGAACGAATGACTTTAGTGCGGTATTTTACCGATTCAGTATTAGCAAAATAATAAATAAATTCGATAAAAGTCACAGGGAGGTTTATCACACTTAAAGTGCCATGCTACGGCCGCTGGTCAGCGATTACGATTTGGTATATAATGCAACTCATATAATTTAGGTCAAAAGTTCCTCTATAAATTCAATCCTTGTAGGGTTGGATTGCGGTTGGTAAATTTTTCAGCTAAATTAAAGAAGAGATTGCCAATCAATTCAGAAATACCGGGATATGCTGGAGAGCACTCTAACACACTAGCATCACAACTTATGACTGGAAGCTGTGGTAAATGACTCAAAACAAAAGACATCTAGAACAGAAGTAAATTCCAGGAGGCGATTTCCTTGCTGCAGGACATTCTCGCTAAAAAAAATAGCAATATCCCGCGCTTCTACGTCTAATTCTTCACGGTAACGGAACGGTGGAATGTTCCACGATATGTATAGATAATCACTGAAGCCATTGACGATGTCGAAGACACATCTCGAGTGAATAAAACAGTAAAAGCTAAGGTGTTTCAGCGTATTTATTCCAAAACCTGCAACAACGTAAATACTTAATGAAGATAGTAATAAACAATTGTCTCGACAGTTAAAACATGGATGCTCAAATATTGAAACAATGGCG